ACTTACAGTGAAAGATTTCCTTTCCTCCAGCCTCACAGCAGCCAGTTCCTTACAGGCAACTTCAGGGACAGTTGAATTTCAGTTCAAAGGTCTGTGAGCACTTGTGAGCCTGATGTCTGAAGGCAGAACTGAACTTGGGGTCCCTCCTTCCCTTTAAAGAGGGTCCCACCCCCCAAGATAAAGCTGCTTTGGCTTCCACTGCAGAAGGGCTCTTTTGCACAGCACAGCAGAATCCATGCAGTAAAAGCACAGCTCAGACTGCAAAATCAAGTAAGCATAACCTGGAAGAGCTCTTGCTTTGGGCAGTTAGACATACTCGTGATTTTCACAAGTTGACATGTCTTATCAGTTACAGAGGGTAAATGTGACTTTCTGGTAATGCTTTGCACGCTGCAGCTCTGCAAATCTCAGTGACATGGAGCACATTTCTGTTTTGTTACTTACTAATGAATGCTAGGCTTGGCAGTCGCTGCAGATCATTTTGTTGAAGTATGACAGAACCATAATCTGTAGAATGAACAAGGATATAATGCCTGTGACTCATGAGTAGTTTCATGGGAATAAAGCTCTTTCATATCCAACACAATATTTAGAAAACCATATCTGGATTCTGCTGGAATTAAGTCCCCCTGTTCCTCTTTGCTTGGCTTACAAGATAGACCTGGAAACCTTTGAGGGCTTTTTTACCCCTCTCCAACTCGCAGAAACAGCAGCTGTTCCAGGAACAAGAAAGGGTGTAATGTGATAGCTGAAAAGCATTTATTCTGTGGTCAAAATACCAAATGAAAGGGATGCTGTGCTAATGCATGAACAAAAGGACTAGATGAGAGGATCTGTGCAGGCACAACCTAGATAAGTTACCACAGCTGGGCAAAAGAGCATAAAGACTGGCAAAGGATTAATCTATTAAATTCAAGTATAGACTGCAAGTATTGGGGGCAACTTATTCTTTCTTTTCAGAAGTTGTACTTGACTGAGAAGTAACTGCAAGTGTTGGAGTACAATTGTCCAAACATTTGATTACTGATATTTGCTGGCTGTCAGAGGGAGTTGTTTGTTTTAACCTGTGACAGTAAGTAGAGGGATGAGGTTATTCAAAGCTTAACAATCACTTAGTATTTTTGAGGGAATTAGGGTATATCTAACAACTATAAATAAGTTTTAACATTGATTTACAAGTTTGGCTCATAAAAATAACTGCAAGTTACATGTAATATCTGCTCCATGTTTAGATAATCACATTAAAATGCAAATAAGCTTATATCAGGTGGGGTGCTTGTTCAGATTTAAACACCTATCAGTGGCAAGTTGGCACAGGCATAAACTTACTTGGCTATTTTTTTATTTTATTATTAAAAGGTACTTTAGAACATGGAGCCTGTAGAGAGGAACATGGACTCCAGGTCACACATAGAGAAAAAAGGAGTATATGCTAGAAATTATGATTCTGAAGATGTTTTAAAGACAGTTTTAAATTATCAGTAAAGGACATAAAGGCTGTTATGAAGGAGATATGTCAGCTCTATGCCTTACTTAAAAGGAGAATATGGAGAATCAGTAGAAAGGTGATAATTACTTTTTCTGTGGCTGATGCTGGCATAATGCCCACGTTCTGATCTATCTTCATTGAAAAATTAAAATGGGTTACTAAAAGGAAAAAAGAGATGCAGTGTTCAGGACTAGGAACGTTATTCAAAGAATGCTAATTATAATTACACAGCTACCATAAGAATATACTAGGAAACAACTCATAGAAATGGTACTAAGAGCTTCAAACTCCAGTGGGAAAGAGACAGCATTTTCAAAAATTGAGTGTAAGAGCACTGGAATAGAGCTCTGATAGGAGAAGGTTAATTCTCTACTGCCACTGTGGGCAAGGAGGGTCTCTCAGAAGCTATTCCACTTGCACAACATGGCATTTCCCCATAGTTTTTCTGCAATCTTAACTTAAATCTATTAAAGCTATTAATTCAGTCTTAAAAATTATCACTTGTGAAAGTGATATGGCTACAAGACATGAGCACAGTGTGAGAGTAACACACTTTTTATTCATTGTAGATTTGCACAGGGGGCTTCTGTTAAAACTTCACTCTACATTCATGGATATTTTAGTCTTACCTTCTAATTCACTTTCAGGTTGAAAGGTACATAAAATATGCTTTGCCCTATAATATTTCTCCTAACACATGACAAAGAGAGAATTTCAGCAGAGTTTGAGGAAAAATCAAAATCAATTTTTGGCAACTTTGAACCCTGAATTTGTAAGTACAATAGTCTATCAACAGCACTGGGAAGATAACTTGGGCAGCCTGTTGCAGAACTGCAACCCTGAGAAAATTTTTCATAGTGTAGTATGAAAAAATTATAAAAATGCTGAAGTTTTTTTTCTTTATATCATTTTTATTACCGTACAAATGCAACCAAACAACTTTATTCTTGTAACATACTTGTCACAAGTGGCACAGGAAAATCCCCCTATTGCCTTCTGTTTAAAACACCAGAAATCTGGAAGAACTGCAGAGCTCTTCACTCTGTAATAATGTTCCTTTTCAAGACTGCTTTTTTTATTTGTCAATTCTAAATAAGCTACAGTGAGAAGGGTTGCTTTTTTGCTTTGTTATTGCTTTCTAGACGCCTGCTGAACCCCAGGCAGCTACTAACTACACATGAATCTAAAGATTCGGCAAGTGAGAACAAATGGCAGAATGAATTTCTGTACAATTCGTCCTTTAATTGTAGATGCTGTTTCTCTCTCTGTTTCACTAAAACCAGGGCCGATGCCGCAGCTGCTGAGCCATACGAGGGCAGCTGCTGCAGATGAAGCTCCATCCTCATTCTGGTCAGCCACAATGTGAATGCCTGCACTGCCTCTCCTCTTCCCTCAGCTGAATTCCTTTGCCTTTTAAAAATTCCCACTGCTGTCTCTATTAGGTGGAAGAGACACTAATGATGTGCATGAAGAGTCAGAAAACGAAATGACAGGAGGAATGGAAAAAAGATTGTGCAGCACCCTTATCTACACTTGGAGTTGAGCACCTGCAGTTCCACATCTCATCAGGCAAAAACACTGTTTCTTCCACTGCAATATCAGTCATGTTGCTGTTAATGAGTAGTCATTAATTCTGCATTTTCACTAATCAGAAGTGTTAGAAACAAAACTAGGAATCTTGAGAAAATGCTACAATTCTGGTTCATTAATCTGTGGTTTTTGTTTGGATTCTTCTGCATTTGGTATAAAAGCTCTAAAATCTTAAAGGACAAAGCACAGGAGTTGTGCTAGAAATGACATAGTGGCTTCATGAGGCTTTTTTCTTTTAGAGGGAATTTGAATGCCAGATTTTTTTAAGGCACAGAAAAATGAACAAAAGCCTGAGTCATTCTGACTTTTCAATCACAGTGGAAATAGCAGGAAATGGGATGTTCCCAACTTGCCATTGTGCTTATCACATTCCTGTTCATAATCATGAACATGTGTAAGTGTCAGTTCTATATTTTTGAGATGAAGATGACAGTATTGATATCTTTTATGACCATTGCTGGAGAGGGACAGTACTGTCCAAGATCAAAGTCCTGCCTATCAAGAAGTAGATGAAAACAGGGCTAATGAGTAAGTGCCAGAGCACTATCAAAGATCTGCTGTAACATTAGAGTGTGAGCATTTCAGCAGGCCAGTTGCTTCATTGGACAGGTGTGTGAGACTTGTTTCCTTGCCACAGAGAGAAAAATGAAGTCATATTGTTCATTACAACACTTGATCACTATGAGGATTATCAAAAGCATGAAGATAGTGAAGGGAGTGGGCAAGAGATGTATGAGAAAAGACAAAGGGAGCTGTGATTGCTTCGCTTAGACAAGGCTCAGGGTGCTCTTATCAATGTGTATAAAGAATTGATGGTGGGAGTAAAGAAGGTGGGATAGGATTGCTCTTAGAGGAGTCCAGTGACAGGACAAGAAGCATTAAAGACAAATTGAAGTAGATGACACTTCCATTGAACATAAGAAAAATTGAGGTTTTTTGCAGCGAGGCTGATCAGATGTCAGGATGGGTTGCCCAGAGAGGTTGTGGAGCCTCTCTCACTGGAGATGTTCAAGAACTGTCTGGATACAGTTCTGTGACATGTGCTCTGGGATAACCCTGCTTGAGCAGGGAGGTTGGACCATGTGACCCACCTGGTCTCTTCCAACCTTACCCATTCTGTGATTCTGAGAAATGGTTCAAGAGGCCTGAACTGAATCCCGATAGATTTAGGGCACTGCCCTTCACATCCTGGCAGCCGAGACAGCACTTCTCACAAGCTCCCCTGCCCCCGACCAGGTCCCACCGTCAATGGCTCCCTCTGTGCAAGCACCTCCAGTGCGGACCGGCCATTCCTCTCCTTCCAAAACTGATGTTCCCCCTGGAATGTGTGAGTTCCTGGCAGGCAAGCGACACGCAGGGGTTACTCCCGACTGGTGCTCTGCCTGGAGCTCGCTGCCCGCGGCCGCACCCACGTCTCCTCCTGGCACCCGCGCCCTGCCCGCACCTGCGGCCGCCCGCGGGGTCTGCTCCCGCCCCACTGCCCATTGGACCAGGAGCGTCACGCGCCCGATCCATGCCGCGCGCGCGGGCCGGGAAGCCGCGCTGCTGATGATTCACTGGGCTGTGGCGGGGCGCGAGCCCGCAGTATCGGCCGCCGGCAAGGCCGCCGCCCGCCAGCATCCCGCCCGCACGCATCCCGCCCGGCAGCATCTCCCGCCCGCCGGCAGCATCCGCCCGCAGCATCCCGCCCGGCCTCCCCGCAGCGCCGGCTTGTCTGGGGCTGGCGGGGCCAGGGAGCTCCCGGGAGGCTGCGCCTTGCGCACGGGGACGAAAGCGGCGTTTCGGGAGCCGGCAGCGCGGCCGTGCCCGGTGCGGTAAGCGCGGAGAGGGGACGTCGCTGCGGGGCAGGGGGTGAGGGAGCGGAGCTGGGAGGGGACGGCCCCGCCTTCCCTGCCCTGTCCTTTCCTGTCCCTTTCCGCCCCTTCCCGCCCCGCAGTAAGGCTCACGTTGGTGCGTGCTCCAGCCTGGGCGGCTTGGGAAGCTCCGAGCGCCCGTAGTTCAGCCTGCGGTTAACAGGTGTCTGAAGCGTTTTGGAACAGAGACCAGTCAGCTCCCGCAAGCCTTAAGGTCTGGAGTGCTGCGCTTTTATGTTAAATAACAATAATAATTAAAAAAAGGGTGAGGTGGCACTGTTCGTTTGGGTGACATGGAAAATGCCGGCTGTAGAAACGCTTGTGTTTCCTTTCTGAATTTGCAACGGAGAGATTTATTCTGTATTCAAAAGCAAAACAACTACAAAGCACGAGCTTGTTTGAAATACATAGAGATTATTTTCAGTGTTCTCAAATTGTATGTTGTGTTTTGCTCTGACTGCTGAGCATTTGAATGAGCTTAAAAATTGAACGTAAAACGTTTAGGGGGGAAGAAAAAAAAAGCAAGATAAGTTTATTGTATGTTTCTTGTGGTGTTTTTTCCTTTTTTTTTTTTTTTTTTTTTTTTTTTTTTTTTTTTTCAGATGGCATCTCCTTCCCATTGTACTTTCAGGCTGAAGGGATGACACCTCTTCTCCATACCATACAGCCTTTGATTACTTCTGTTCTGTCTTGCCTTCTTCCCTTTCCCTATCTGCTCTTCCCTAGTCTTCTGTTGATTCCCATACTCCTTCCCCCCCACCCCCTTTCCTTCCTTCTCCCTTAACTGTCTCTTTTTTTAATAGTTGTCATCTCAGTGGTCTCCTATTCTGGTGAGCCCTCTCTGTTGACAGTGACTGTTCACGGCAGTTCAGGTCTTTCTCCTGAACTGTCTGCCATTCTTTTTGCTGGAGAGGATCACCTCAGTGACGAGCTGGCAAAACTCTCTGAGCAGCCTCTGTTCTCTGACATTTGCCTCGTTCATCCTATCATACCAGCCTTGTTTGGCACTTAAAACTGGACGGTAACTGAAAGCTGGTTTGGCACTTTTGCTGTGACAGGCATAGCTGGTAGAGGGACGGGGCAGCAGTGGCAGTGCTGTCTCAAACTGCCTCAGCAAGGCTGGTCGGGCTTCACTGAAGAGAGCAGGTTCTGTTTCCAGGTGTGTTTCCCAGCCCACTGCTCTGTCTTGGAGCTGCTCCTGTTTTGCTCCGTTCCTCTCATTTGAGCTTTCCAGAGGCTGTATTCACAGGGATGCAGATTTACGTAAGTATTGTGGAAATAAATAGATGTTTTGGCTTCTGCTTGGAGATAATCAGGCAATGGTCTCACACTCAGCTTGTTTTTCTTGTCCATTTGTGGTTTTCTATTCAGGCTCCTAACCAGAGAGTCAAGATAATTTTGACAACAGGAGTAAATACCTGGAAAGATGCCAAGGGAACTGCAGATCTCCATTTGCTGAGGACAGTGTGGCTCCATTCTTCACAAAAATAAGGAGATATTCTGTGTATGAATCACAACCAAATATGTATAAAATAAATCAAGCTATTGCAAGAAAATAATTTTTTTAAAGAAATTAAAATCCAGAATATGAAGATCTGGACAAAGTAATTTACTGCATATTCTTTTGCTGATCATCCATGTACACATTATGGTGGAAGAGGTTTTGAGTCAAGCACAGATGATACTCCTGCACCTTTTCAACAGTTTAAATCAAATTTCCAGTCTTTGAACCTGTAATAGCAGCTATTGCCGGTAAAATTTTATTACAAATCTTATTACAAATAGATGAAGGCTTTATTCTGCATACTTACTGCAATGGGCCATGGTTGTACTGTTTTAGTGATGTTTCCTTGGCATCTAGTTACTTTTTTATAGCCTAGTGTAACACAGAAACATGGCAGGGATTAAGAATGGGAACATTCAGGTGTGTGCCTGTGAGTTGTGTACTGCTGTCTGATTTACCTGGGAGGAAATCTGCATTTGAGGCACTACAATAAATTGTTGTCTTCTTAAGCAGCAGTGGAGGGAAGAATTAGATTAAAGACAGGGAAAAAAACCAGTTCTTGTTCAGAAAAATCCCAAGGCAATTTGACTTTTAATGAACAGCTCCATTTCAGTGAGTGCTTGAAATTGTCACTGAACCAATTAAGGCAAAATTTCTGCATCGTGTCGTAGGCTAACTACAAAAGTTCAGAAAGTGCTTGTCATACAGGTGTGGAAGTTTTCAAGAAAAGCTGCATAATTTTATTTTATTAGTTCTTGAGGAAATGTAATACATAATTCAAATTGAATTACGTATTTTCAAATTTAAAAGCTTAAGCGTTATTTTGCATCAGAGAGATTACGCTTTACAGACCCTGTGTGGGTGAGAGCATCAGCTGAAGATTTTTCCACCACAGCACTGTCAGACCCCAGCTGTGAGATACCCAAGTGTGGGCGTAGCTCTGACAAATGGTCTTTTGTACCTGGGAACAGAACTATTTCTGCAGGGAGAACCACCAAGAAGTAAATAGGTGCTATGGGAGGTGTGCTGTGGCCTGTACTTCAGACCAGATGAACGTTACGTGAAGATTAGGGTTTAATTTTGTAATGAGAGAGAGGAAATTGTACTCTGCTTGTCAGCCTCATTGCTGCGGTGGCTTTTTCACTGATGCAAAGCTAAAACAGAGCTCTTAAATGGTGCCTGAACACACACTTCCATTTTCTGGGCTGTGCAACCCTATGGATATCTGCTCTGCATTTAAACCTGGGCCTTGCACATTGTGGTGGGGCTCCCTGTGGGGTTGGTAAGAGAGGCCTGTGCAGCAGCAGCTGCTGCAGGGCACGGGACATCTGCAGGCCCAGGTCATTGGCGGGAAGGGAGCCCAGGGAATTCTAGCTGTTTATCAGTGCTGAGTTTCCCGGGAACAATCACACAAGAGTAGTTCCTTCTTCCAGCCTTGCCCCTAATAAAAATGGTCAGTTTAGTTGTGGCTATTTGAAATATTCCTGGGTGTCTCCTGTTCTTGAATTCAGTCGTTTTTCTGGCTACATGCAAGACTATGCTTCCAGTGTTTCTTCATGACTTGTAGTCTAGCCAGTTTGGGTAAATCTAGTCTAGTAACCTTATGCATTGAGATAAATTCTCAGTGAGATTTTTTTACTTTAAAAGTTAATTTCATCTTTTAGTTATTAAAAGTATGATAGTACTTGTTCTGTCTCTACTGTGGAGGCTGCTATTTTTTATAGGTTCTTACATGATAAAACAAGTAGAAGTTATTTTAAAAGCAATTTATAGGTACTCATATTCTGATGGAGCCATTCCAGTTGACCTGCAGTGTGCTGTTCAGTAAGAGTATGGCGGGGAGGTGCTTTCCTTTCTCTCTGCTCAGAATAAGGCTTCATATTGACAGACTTCAGGGTTAGCAAGGAAATCAGAAGATCCCCATCTAAGCACTGAGCTTTCTGTGACAATAAAGCTAACAGAGAGACACATTTTAAAAAAATTAAAAAAAAAAAAAAAAGGACTACTTTGCTAAGCCAGGAAAATGAAGGAAAATAATACAGCCCAAAAGCAGAAACTTTTGGGGCAGGCCAGTTGCAAACTTGCATTACAATTCGCTCTTACCTCATCAGTGGATATGCCAGGGCTCTTTCACTTCAGGGTTTTCTATAACAAATCAGCCTGGGATCTCTGTGATATTACTGAAAAGTGAAAAATTTGTAGTGAGAAAGGTTAAAATGGGCAATATTATAAACAGCTGAGGGAAAGGCAGCCTTTCTCTTGGAAAGTGTTGAATATACTTATATATAACATTGATGCCAGCATTTGTAACAATATAGGACTGAAAAAGCCTCAGTATTTTAGTGCTCACTAATAGGGCTTCTTCCAGTCTGGTTGATCTTGAGGGAACTTGGGTTTGCAGCTGCCATACCTGCACATCTATGAGAAGGTTGACTTTTAGTGAGGAAGGGAAAATGGGCTCAGTACTAATTGTGTAATCTTGCCCTAGATGCAGGAAATAAATGGAATTATGGCTAATCCTTTTTACTTTTAGATAATACTGTCTCTTAAGACCGTGCATGCCAGCTGTAATTTTTAAAGCTTTTGGTGCTGGAGTTACGCTAAGCTTCAGTGTGTTTTGGGAGCAAGTCCCACTAGCTCTATACTAACTGTTCCATGTCCCTTTACTGTTAGTGCAGGACTGAAACTTTTTAAGAGCAAAAGGAATACAGAGCTTCTGTGATGCTATGTTAGGTATATAATTCCTTGTCTTCTCAGAAAGGCTTATGAGTGAGCTTACACAGTATTTGCTTTATTTGTTTTTAGATCCATACAGTTGCCTGTGAACTCATACTATGATATTATTTCATATTAGTTTCTGCCTTAATTTCCATGCGGCCCCTACCGAATTGAGCTGCTAAGTGGGCATTAATGTTTGCATATATTGTTATTGACTTTAGGAAAATAGTTGGCAAACTGTTTTGGTCTTTGTTAAATTTTACTTTAAGGTCATAATGTTATCACTTTTAAACTAAGTACAAACAGTATCTATACAATTAGCATGAAAATTGTGTATAATGGTGTGGAAACTTTTTACAGCGCACATAATGCAGGATATCAAGTGTTAGTACCAAGATATTAAGCATTAGTACACGGAAAGTAAGATATTTTAATAAGAATTTGTGTGTGATGCATAAATAGTTAACTGTTGGAGTCTAGTTTACATTGCACAGTTATAAGGATAATAAAATGTATGTTATATGATGTGTAATATAGTAGTATGAAGCGCAGATGTCTGTAACTCTGTTACCTTTCTCATCCTTAGTTCCCAGGTTAAACAGTGACTAAACCAGCTTTTTTCCTTTCCATTGTTATAAAGTCCTTTTGTGATGAATCCAACGTTATTCTTGTTATTTTAGTGCAATAGCCCATGCAGATAATGCTGTTTGTGAACATTGGTCATAAACATAACCACTGTCACCATTGTACTTCCTTTTCTCTCCAAGAAAAGACCTAGGTGTCATGCACTCAGAGTTGGCATGTATGATTGATTTTAAATTGTACTATCAGTTTCCAGATATCTTTTTTTTTGCTAAATTTCACTTCTTTTTTATACCTTACTTTTCTCTCTTTTATTGCAGGTAGGATTGGGTATTCCCCTGAAAAGACCACAAGTTTGATCTCAAATCATGCCCATCTAGGATCTTGAGAATTAGAAAGAAGCAAGGACCATTAGGGTAAGAATTTGCTACAGACTACCTCCTTGTCTGTGGTTGGGAGTGGCACAACTTGTTCAAAGTGATAGCTGTGTGGTAGAGTTGTAGAAAGATGGGGTCTGTATTACTTTTCAGCTGATGCAATGCAGCAGAGTAAATAAGTTTGTGTTTGTTTTTTTATTTGCTTTTTCTCTGACTTCACCTCTTAGTCTTTGGGATGGAGTAAAAAGGAATGTGGGGGTGGCTGCAATATTCCTCCCTGCAGAATATTGTTGTTGGTCTGGGGACTTAGGGGATATGGGAACAGCCTGTGTTGTTAACTTCTCATAGCCAATAACTTCTGTTTTAATTGTACTGCCCAGATGATGGAGCTGATGCATCAGGGTGTAGTGCTAAGCTTTCTCAGGCTGGGGCTTCTCACAGTTTGAAATGTTGCTACTTTTTTTCCCATGTCTAGCTCTTGGGATCTTCAGAATTTGCAAGGGGGCAACTTCTATGAAGACTATGAAGTGCTTAGATTCCATGGCAGTAAGCAGAATAGAAGTATGTAGAAAATAAATGTAGTTTTTCGTTGAAATTTTTTGATTGAAAAGTTGTTTGTGTCTACCATACTGGTAATTTCTCTTGCTCCAAAAATGAACAGCACATGATCAGTCCACATGGTTTTATTTTGTGCATGTAGGTCAGCTTCGGAGGTAGCTGTTGCTGGTTACGTACAAGGCCAATTTGAGATACACGCAAAAACAGATATGCCTTTGTGGCCCCAGTGATGGTGCAAGCCATGAAGTTGTGTTGCAGATGTGATGTGTGTTCAGTTTTGCTTTTACAGTGACTCATTTTGAAAGGTAAGTGGCTGAGACCCTCATGCAATTGCATGGATGATGTCCAGATTGAAGCAAATAGTCAAACTGCACAGCGTTTGATGCCCTGCTGCTGCAGTTCAAAGTTGTGGATGTGGTGCAAATATAGCCCAACAGTCAAACTAGCTCAGGACCAGTGGCAGCTCTCAGGCAAGCTTGTAGCCTTACAAACTTTCCCACAGGTTACAAACAAGTTTTCATGAAGGTATAATTTAACTCCAGGAGTTCCAGTTGGGTCTCCACGGGGAGTCTCTGGGTATCTGTTGACATCTGCAGAGAGCAATCCAATGCTCCAGGAAAAGGCCATGAGCACTTGCCCTTTTTAGTTTCCAGGAAACTGATCTGCCTGAATCTCGTGGTTTGCAGCACTGAACACAGCCCTGCTTTGGGGTTTCTTGAGTAGTCAAAGTGAAGCTTTGTGTTGCTTACTTACTTGCTCCTGAAAGAAGTGAGCTGGAGTGAGGAAAGACTGTCTGCATCCATACACATCAAAGTCAACAGAGGGGCTTTCATGTTTACCTTAAACAATTCCTGTGCCACCCAGAAAAACCCTCAGCAAAGTCATTTGGAGAAGCCCTCTGTCATGCTTCAGACTGTGGGATGAATCACTGCTTTCCACGCCTGGCAGAAAGTGTGTTTTAGTGCATCTCCTGGAAGAATTAATTCCTTGAAACCCTTGCCTGAAGTCCCTCTGTGACCTGCTGCAGCCTGGCAAATACACCTGACAAGTGGCTAGCATGCCAACTCACGCTGCTTTGCTCCTCCCCAGGAGATGCAAGGTCTAAGTGTTCACTACTTTCACTGTGGTGCTCCTTGTACCACCATGCTAGACTGGCTTTTAAGTAGAATGAAAGGTTGGTATTCACATGCTTCAGGCTGAGGTTTTGGAGGTATTTGGACAGACAGAGCTTACAAGTGAGCTGTAAACTGGTTTGGGACAATGCTAATGCTTAGCTGTACTGGATGATTTAGAGGGATATTTTGTATGTCCCTCAAAGTACAGATTAGCCTGGGAGCTGGTGACCCAGGTTTCAGTTAGCAGCATTCCCTCTGATAGTGGCTTGTCTACAGTGAAAGTAAATCTTGAAACGTTGGCAGTCAGTGGTGACACTCTGGAGCACCCAGTCCAAACTGCATACTGAGGTGGGACAGATTCTTTGTGTTCTGGAGGTGGCTATGCTCACCATAAACCATAATTGGGCACTAGAGACTAGACTGGGAGAGAGATTTGCATGTAGCCCAATTAATCCCATCTGCCTGCACCTGAGATGGAAGAAACAAAATTTTTCAGACTGTTCATGTATCCTACTCTGAAATTTACTGCCTGTAGATTTCAGCTCTTTTTATGATACTAAAAGGAGGGAGGTGACTGAATATTAGTGATGTCCTATGAGGAATATATGAATGATAGACTTGTCTGGAAGGCTCTAAAAGAGAAAAGCAGCCCTTAAACAGGACTGGGCTAATAAAATTTGTCAAGACGTCATCAACAAAAGAGGAAGGAGAAGGGGAAGAAAAATGGTGGGAACCTTGTGTAGCACCATGTAGTCTCTTGGAGTGCAGTCACAAAATGAAATACAAGCTCTTGTAAGAAACAACTGACAGAGCTGAGATGGGAACAAACTAGGACAGGAATCCCATGAACTGGGTTGTCCATTATAGCCATCTTTCTTTCTCCTCTGTGCTTTGGGCTGCTTATTTTTGCTGGAGGCTTTCTGGGTGGCTAGGAGGGGGGTGAGCATAAAGTGAAGAATCTTCTTGTCCTGACCCAAGAATAGGGTTGGTCACTTCTCTCCCTGTCCCCCTGACCTTTCCTGCTGTCAGGTTGCTTATTGTGAAAACTAAACTGGTTTGGGTTGAAAAATAGGTCCATTTATTGTTTTAAAGGATTTATCACAAGTTAAGTTTTGGTATGTGTTTAAGGTTATGAACATTGTAATAGGTATGAAGTTTTACTTTTTCAGGCATAATATTTATTTAAAATTGTTTTGAGGCATTACTGCCAGCATTTGCTCATGGTAAAATAGTTGCAGAAAGAACAATTTTTTTAAATTTGAAATGCTGTTCATATTCCCTGGGTGAATGCGTTTCTCATTTTGTGCCTCATTTTTGTTCTTTATGTATGGTTCTCCTAGCACTTGAAGCCTTGGTCAATTCAGTTTTAACTGAATGCAAAATTACCCAAAGCTCAACTCACTTTTACAAATAGTATTTTGTAATATGTTTTAAGTTGGATGTCCTGACTCCAGCTGCTGCAGCAGCAGATGTTTTGGGCAGAGATGTGCTCTTTTTTGGTGTGCATAAAACAGTCTCATATTCTGAAAAAATTACTCTGCAAAATGCAAGTCCCTAATACAGAGTGGTGGTAATGACAGAAATATCTATCCAGATAATTTAATGATGCTTAGGGTTGTACTGTGGGTTTTGTTAATCCATGGGGGAAATCCCTCATTTTATTTTCCTTCTTAGGGACATATTGAGCCCATTTATCAGCGTAGAGAAATTTAGGTTGGAAGGGACCTTTGGTGTCATTTGGTCCAACCTCCTACACAAAGCATGTTTGACTAGATAGGTAAATTTTAATTTGTATCTAATTTGAATTTCCTGTTTCCCAATTTTTTGTCCATTGCCTCTTGTCCTCTTACTCTGCACTTCTGAGAAGAGCCTGGCACCATCATCTCTGCACCCTCCAACTCTAACTGTAGACAGCACTAAAGTCTCCCTGGAGCCATCTCTTCTCCAGGTTGAACAAATCCTTAAGCTTTCATGCATCCTGTGCTTCAGCTCCCTAACCATCCTCGTGGCCTTTCACTAGACTTCCCCAGTATACCTATGTCTTTCTATAATTAGGATACCACCTGGTATATGGTCTTCCCAGTGGTGAGTAGAGAAGAGTAAACACTTCTCCTGACCTGCTGGTACACTCCTGTTAATTCAGCCCAGTACACACTGGGTGGTCTTTGCCACAAGGCACACGGCTGACTCGTGTTCAGCTGGTTGTTCATTGCAGGTCCTTCTCTGCAGAGCTGCTCCCCATCAGTCAACCTCCAGCCTGCACTGCTGTGTGGGGTTATTCCCTCCTGGATGCAGGACTTTGCATTTGCAGTGATGATCCTCATGAGGTTCCTGTTGCTCCCTTTCTCCAGCTTGTCCTGGTCTCTCTAAGCAGCAGTCTGCCCTCCAGCCTCTTGACTGTCCCCCACGTAATTTGTGAACTTGGTACATGTCCGCTCCATTTCAGCACAGTATCAGTCCCTGAGGGGTACCACTGACAAACAGCGGCCAGCTGGGTTTTGTATGGATAACATAGTAGTAGTCTGGCTAATTCTCCACTCAGCATTCATCCTAAGATGCAGAGGTTGGTGGTGTTCATTATGTATTATTTTCAAGCTATGAAATCTATATTCAATCAGAGGAACCTGGTTTTGATATTCTGCACACTTACACACATCTCTGTGGAGGTGAAAATAAGTTTTCTTCTTTCCACTGAAGAGAAGATCTGTGTTAACTGTTGGTTAGCCAGCCAAGACGGGTGAAGGAATGGGAGGGGATGTGATAGCCTTGTCTGGATGAGGCAGTGGCTGCTCCAATAGATAAGAAAACATTCTTTATAAAACCAAAAGATGTGCTAGAAGTATGTAGTCTCTATTAACACAGTTCATATCCACAGATACATATTTATTGAGATGCAAGATGTCTGCCCTGAGGCTGACTTCTAATAGAACTTCCCAGCAGGCCTCGTCTAACTCTGATTACACCTGGGACTACGAGTACTATGAGTACGGACCAGTGTCATTTGAAGGCCTGAAGGCTCATAAATGTAAGTTCAGTAGAGACATATTTTATTGCAACTGAGCTTCCCGTCTTAATGTTCCTACTCTTCATTCGTGACTGATTATTGCACAAAAATATCTCTCTCCTAATTCTTAAGATTTTCTGCAATTAGAGGTATTACTCTATTTATTAGATTATTATAATTGTTTATTATTCTGTGTCCTTTTGTTGACTGTTTTTCTTGTGCATGAAAGAACCAAGGCTGTGGTAGAAATTTGTCAATACTAATACTGTCAGAAAAGTTTACAACAGCAGACACAGCCACTGCTGCTTCTGGCGACTACTCGGTATGATCTGTGTTGCTTTGCTCTTGCTCCTTTTAATGGTAAAAAGACAGTGGTGGACAGCCTTACTGCTTTTGTTTTTCTTCATGGAAAATAAATGTAAGGCTTTTGTAAGATCTAAAATAAAAGAAGAATTTTCTCCTTCTGAGCAAACTTTTATTATTGGGAATTTCCTCATGGGAGGAGTGTGCTAAATTCAGTGTTCTAATAATACTGTTTTACAGTAGAAGTAATAAGTGGACAATAGGGACCAGAGAGATGAAAAATATGGGTTGGAATTGGGAGAAAATTTAGCTAGGACAAGCTAGTAGAGCTAGACCAACATTTATCTAAAATCTAGGCAATGGCTTTGGATTTTATGATTTATTTTTTTAGAGGAGATGGTTGTGGGGGGGGGGAAACAAATAAAGAGGGGGGAAAAAGTAACAGAGACCAACTCAGAATTACCGGATGGTTTGCAAGCGCTTTGTCAAAGAGAAACAAACAATCTTGTTTCTTTGTTTCTGATCTGGATACACTGTGAGAGGGTTTGAGCATCAGTCGTCAAAGTACTGGGAAAGGGTCTCTTCAGCGCTGGAGCACTGGTCCAGGGTGGGATACATACTTGTTAAAGTTATTAATGCTAAAAAAAAAAGAAAAAAAAAGAAAAAAAGTAGAATTTGGTTTTTAGTCTGAATTGTACTTAACCTTTTTTTTTCTTTCTGAAGAAAAGTCTGCTGGTTAGTGTCTGTATTTTTACAAATGAGCAGTACCTGAAAAACTTAGGTTAGCTTTTGTCATGTTTCTAAATTATCTTTCATACTTCCACTTAATCAGAGGCCAAACCTGATTGCAAATATCACCAATTGCAAAGATTAGCTGCAGTGTTATGTACATACCTTCTTTTTAGCTCGGTGTGTCAACCAGCATGATGGGAGAAAAAATATAAATGATAGTTGTCTCTGGATTGTGGAAGGCATAGCTGCAAATCAGATCTTGGATTGCCATTGAAGTGATTGCCATGCTAAGTGTGGCAGCTGAGCTTTCCTGTCCGGCTGTGTCGTTCACAGAGCAGGAACATTCTGGACAGCTCTTACTAGAAAACATGACAGAAGTAACAACTGCTTTTCAGGTGGAGCTTGATGAAAGATGTTGTTAGTAGCACTGAATCAGTGACCTAGGAAATCCCTTCTGGTTGTTTTTTTGGTGGTTTTCTTTTGTTTCTGTTTTTTAGTTTTGTTTGTGTGTTTGTTTTAACTGATAGAATGGAGTTGGCTCTGTTACCTTCAGTGTTACTGCATGCATTCCTCTGAGGGCAGAGTTTAATCTAGTAAAGGAACAGTCTGTGTCTGTGTTGTGTATGTGATGATATTTCTTGACACAGTGTGTTCTTGGAATGTGTCTTGTTCTGGCTATTAGCAGCTGGGTTGAGACTGTTGTGAAATATGGAGGTGATATGATCAGACATGAAGTTCTCTGAAATCCTAAGATGAGGAGGAAGGAGGGGAGGAGATTACACGGGGTTGTATTAGGAGGGACACCTTGGATATTTACAAATAAGAGATGTTAATGAACGCCTGTAACTTTTATGTGGGAGATCTCAATGGGGAATGGACTCCAGTCTAGGTGAGGCAGGCTGGCAGTAACACTTGACCAGCTGTAAAACATCACTGGCTCTTCTTAAAGATAGAGGTGTACGATTTTTTCTTATTATTACTTATTTATTTGATATACACTGTATTCAACCCAAAATGAGAGGGCACTGTTTTCAACCATAACATAGGAGGAATTCTACAAGAGAGAGCTGGAGGACACTTTTGGATTAACGTTGATTTAATTAACTGTAAGCAAGGGGAGATTGCTAATATTTGATGTATATATAAAGGAACTCAGAAGACTGTTTCTGAAAGCAGAGAAAAATTATTCAAAGTGACCTGTGAAGAAAAGGATTGACAAAATAATCTAATACACAAAAATACATTTCTTAAAAAAAGTGGAGGTGGGGAGAAGATGAGGTATTCAAATGCCACAGTGACTTTTCAAATATATGACTGGAAAAAAAACCCAAACAAACCAAAAAGGATGTTCTGTCTGAGGAGGATTGAAAGCAGGAACTAGAAATCTGAAAATCTACAAGAGTAGAGACCAGATGTTTTATAAATTAAAGCTTTAGAAAGTAAATAGACAAATATATTAAGAGATACTTGTGACTGGCAGAGAAAAGAACAAAATCCTTTTTTGTGCCTTTGAAACAGAGACAACCTCAGAAACATTGGAGAGGTAAGATAGGTAGGAATGATCAGGGCAGTCAGATCTGCTGTCAGGATGTTATGAGTCTATTACGAAGAAAAGGAAGGTTGAAACTGCAACTTGAGAAAGTCATGGTATACTTTTACAATCTATTCATAACTTAGGGCAGTATTATAAACGTAAGTGCTTCATGCCATATTTTTTGAACAGAAGTTGTGTTATGTACTGTTTATTTTGAGTAAGTGTTCAGAAGTTAGTAGATTTGGATAATTTGCACTTGAGTGAGACCTAAATGAAATACTGAAGAGAACTCAGGTCATCATCTTGTATTTTAAACAAATCCAAATAATGTAACTGACACAGCAGAGGGTTGGAAGTGTGGCAGGAGGCACAGTTAAGCAAGGCAGATGTAGCTTTATGCTCAGTAAATTTAGGAATTCCTTTGTGGGGGAGGAACAACAAAAAAAACACAAGACAGGCTTGTTATTCATCACATAATGCTGGTGGGTGTGAGTTTTGTGGGGAGTAGTAGTTTATCAGAATTATATTTTTTTTTAAATTCCCCCTGCCACCTTAGTTAATGGATTAAGTTTTGCAGCTCGATCAATATAATCTATATGCATAATTTTTAGTCATCTTGGTCACACTTTACATTCTGGTTATCAATGCAGTTGCATATAATTCAAGCATGTCTGACTAACTGGTCATTACTAGTAGCTGGTTAAGTGGTAAATTTTTTAATGGGAGTATTTCTTTTTAGATGAAATTTTTGGGTATTACAAAGTCCAGCAGGATGGTAGATAATCATGAATTATTTTCTATTAGTAAGGTCCAACACAAGGTGCATCTTGAACCACTGCATACAGGCTATACTTACAGAATGGTTCTGAAAGGAAAGTAGGACACACAATTAACAGAAATAAACTCATTCCAGTATACTTTAAGTAAAAAGGGGTATTACAAACTCAACTCCCCCATCACGGAGACCTATACTTGCACCGCCCTCTAGTTATTTTACACAGGGTGTTGAGAGGGAAAGATGTGGCATAGGAGAGATGGAATAAATATTGCAGTGGGAGACTTGAAACTTAACCTCCTTACTTTACTAGAGAAAGGAATTAAGGAGCGACTTGATTTTCACAGGGAGAAAATCTCAGGTTGCAGCAGGCATTTTGACTTTGCAGGGAAAGAACAAATGATTTGAGTTGATTTCCAATTTTCACATATGCCTTTTAGCATGGAAGATATTTCACAGTGAGAGTGTGATTAACAGCTGGGGTCAAGTACCAGGCAGGATAGCTGATTCTTTGCGTTTTTGTTCTCTTTAGTTAGTGCTGTAGGAAATTTAACAGTTCTGTGCTGTGCCTGCTGCACTGGGTCAGACAGATCATCGTGTAGCTTTACAGCCAGTGAGGATCTCTGAGGTTTGGTAGTGGCTGTGTAATGAGGGGTTAAGGGTAGAAAGGATTCCAGTCCTGACCAAGACTTCCTTCTTGCATGTTTGTGTGTTATTTTTTTTGAACTTCTACTGTGGAAGTTTTGAAAACTTGCATAAACAAAAAATAACTAACTGATAGTTGAAAAAGTAGCTGGACCAGGTCATATTTTGTGTTGGTGTTCTGCATCTTTGGTCCTTGATTATCAGTTGATTGTTGTCTGGAGATATGTTTGTCCCACTTGGACCTCTCTAAATCAAGCTTCTGGAAACTTTGAACTTCCCTCAGGAGCAATTGTGGATCAGCTTTTGTTGTAGTTTTATACTTTTTTATTTTTCCTAGTGAAATTTCCCATACCAAGTCTCTTGCTAGTAGGCTTAGACTACATTGTCTAGCTCGGGCCTTAATGCTAAATAACCTCGGCACACCACATAAATTGCGTAAGAGAAACTCCATCCCCTCTGCAGTCACAGTTGCGGGGTGGGGGCGGAGGGGAACATTAGGCATTGAGCTTTTTAGACTGGGGGAGAGGGAGACCGGAGTTTTTGTTTATTTTTTTTCCTCTGCGGACTGCCAGCACTGCCTGGGTGCCCTTGGGAGCTGCCGAGGCCCAGAGGAGCTCCTGTTCGTCCCCCGGTGAGAGAGTCCTTGCGGTGCTTGCTGTAGAGGGGCTCGCACACCACTCTTGTCACAGGGGCTGCCACTCCCTTGTGCGGTTTTTTTTAGGGTCTCCCTGCTCTTCGTTGGACGGACCAGCAGCTCCGTCTCTCGCCAGCCGCCGCGTCCATGGCTGAGGGCTGGGGGCCGGGCCCGGGCCCGGCGTGGAGTGCCTGGAGCGAGCATTTTTTCGGAGACGGCTTGCCTGTAGCCGGCACCATCCGCGGAGGAGCTTCCGACCACCCCCCCTCTGGGATGCAGCAAGATAGTCCGTGGAGGGCGGGTGGAGGGGCTCGTTTTGGAGTCTCGGAGCAGCTCCCGCCGCTGAGATCCGCCATTGGCCACGCGGGGCTCGTGGAGCTCGGCCCCGCTCCCCTGGCCCTCCCTTCGCCTGTCCCCCCCTCCTTAGCAAACACTTTCGTGTCCTTAAACTGAGACAACTTTGAAGTCGTAAGTGGACATAGATTTGTTTTAAGTAGGACTGGCAAATTTTTCTATGGTCCATTTGGTACGAATGAGAACAGTAGGTACATTTTATGCACACAGGTAAAAAGCTATGCTCTTCCCGATGACTTCTGTATTTGGCTATTGCATTGGTGTTTTCCTTTTGATTAACTGGTGGTCTGACTTTTTTGTCCAAATCCGCTTGGCTCCTCTGACGTTGTACTGCAGTTTTCTTTACTCGAGTTGGAAACTCAAAAATTATCCAAAATTATCGTTTATATGTTGATTATTCATATTTGTTGAAGTAGCAAATAGTTTCATCTGTGGTTCTGTATATTTCAAAACCCTCTGTCTTGCCGCTAAAAGAAAGCTAGGTCTTCCTAAACATATTGTGTCAAAGAAATCCATTAAAGGTCAGAAACCTAATGGTCTGGGGAAGAAATAATTTAAAATAGCAGGAGTTCAGTTCTACAAAGACAAAGGATTTTGCTGCAAATCAGATAAACCTCTCTTCTGAGTTCTAGGACTGAAGTTGTTTCCAAAGCACAATGCTTGGAAATGGGCCAGGCATCACAAAGGTAGCTGCTCTTATTTTACTAACCAAGGGAAATAAGTATCTTCCCTCTTTAATTTTCTTTCTAGTTTGTCTAGATATCAGTAAAATTCAGGCTAGAAATGAGAATTTCAATGGCAACTTTCTGTTTAAACATAGATAATGATAAATTTGATCATTCTTCCTCTTTGCTGCCCAGGAATAAGCTGCAAATTATTTTGGATTTGCAGTCATGGTGTATGTGGAAGGCAGCTTTCTGCAAGTGCAGGTAAAATACTGATCATCCTGTTTTCTCTTTTTTCACCAGATTCCATTGTGATTGGATTTTGGGTTGGTCTTGCAGTTTTTGTCATCTTCATGTTTTTTGTCCTGACCCTGCTGACGAAGACAGGAGCACCTCATCAAGAGTGAGTTTGAAAATGGGAATAAGAAATCCAGCCTACTAAGTGGCACATCTGGTCTCTTGCAGCCCCCAAACAAGCAGTGACAAAGCTGACATTGTACTGGCTCAGCACGGTCTTGTTCTAGTCCGTTCTTATGAATCAGTGCAGTCTATCTTCATTTCAAACAATCTGAGCATACTCATGCTAAAAGGAAGTTTGTGGGTAGGCTGCCAAACAGGTACAGGTGCTTTTAGATTACTGTTCTGCACATAAATGGCGAGCTCTAGGTGAACTCAATTTATCTTGGAGTGGAAGTGTGAATATTGATGTAGTATATGCAAATAAAAGATAGTGCGGATGCTAAAGGAAGGAAGCTGAAATCTGGCAGGTTTCCACATTTGTGTGTTCAAATCCAAAGGGTAGATATCAGTAGTCTGTACAAAATCTTCCCTTAACCCCCGAGGTCTCGGAGTGTCTTAGTTTCTGCTGAGAAATTCCAGTAGATGCTGAAGTACAGATCAGCTCCATGTTTGTTTAAAGCCAGGGTGCCTTTATAATAATAAATAAAGATGAAAGTCCTTTATTTCTTATTCTTTCTGGCTGATAATTATGTGTAGACTGTGCCTTGCCTCAATGATTTATCTGCATTTGCACAGCACCCAGGCTGCCATTGTTCCTTTGTATGAGAAAGTTTGAAGCTACATCTCCTCTCAGACTTGTGTGCCATAAAGTAGAAATAAAAAGCCTCTCTGGAGGTGAGAACACTTGCAGACAGGTAGCAATGATGAGAAGCTGATTGTGAAAGGCAATTGTTAGTGCTTACTGCTTCCTAAAGCAGCCTGTCTCTGCCTACTGGAGGCCCTTTGCTATTTAATCATATGTAGACTGGCTCTGAAACTTCACATAATAGCACATCTCTAAAGACAGGGCCACATTAGAGAGGGCATATGTATATTGTGAGCTTCTTCTGTGCTCCTGAAGTTTTGTTTCTGTGAGAAGAAAATAGAGGCAGAAGAATTGAGCTTACCAGATCCGACTTGTTGGTATTTTTGTTTCCCTTAGAGACTGTTATAAAGCAGACAAACCTTGCTCCCAAACAAATTCAAAGTCCTTCTAAGTGTTGATGTGCTGCCCCTTTCCCCTAAAGACCTTGTTAGACCTAGTTGAGCATCTGAATCTGTATCCCAGGTGAATAATTTGAGAGGGGAAGAAGTAATTAAGTCAAATATACAACACAGAGAATTTAATATGAATATTTGTCAAAAGTTTTTACACTTGTAAAAATGTACTTCTAGGTAGCAGAGGCCTGCTTAGTGTCTCCCACTGTTTTTCTGTTTTTCATCAATTTTCTTGAACAGGTTGTCTAGAGAGTTTGTGAAACCTCCATCTCTGGTCAGCTTCTACATCCAGATAAACTGATCTGAACTCAGGCCTTGCCTTTATCATCAGGCTAAAGACCTCCAGAAGTCCCTTCCTTTCTAAACCTTAATATAATTTTTCTTCAGTTTCTGAAGCGAGCCCAATTATTCCTTCCTGTATTTGCTTTAAACCTCTTTGCAGCTTTGGGATCTGTGTGCTTGAGTGTTCACCCATTTACTAGGTACACTGAGTTGGCACTCAACAAATCTGAGCACTATTTTTTTGACGTTTGATAATCAAATGTGTGTGGTATTGAACATGGATCATCCAGGAATACACTAAGTACAGGGAATCCTGTGTCCTCTTATTTCTGATACATGTATATAAAAACTGGAGAACACCTACCTGTAAAACCAGTGCAGAGTGTGATTTTAGTTTGCCTGCATCTTCTGTTTTCACACCTGACTGGATTCTTCATGACCTGGTGTTTCATTAGCGGGCTGTCTTGCAGCCCTCCTTTAGATAGATATTAATGGGATTCCTAGGTCTTGGGAGAAAGCCAGCTTGATTGATGGATGTGTCTCTGACTTCAGCAAGGCTATTTGGCTGTTCTTTAAAGTACCATTAATGTGAGAGATAAGTGTAACTGGTCTCAGATGGATGGATCCAAGGTAGAATACTCTGATTTTTCTAGTAATATGCTTTTCTTGGCTTAATATAAAGGGGCATGATAGGATGTATTTTCCAGAATTATAAAAGATGTTCAGAATTGGATACATTCTCAGACCAGAAGGGTCAGGATTTTGATGGGGAGAGGCAGAAATTTAATCAGTTATGGAAATTTTGTCTGTTGCATTTCTCTTTTGTTTGCCTGCATATTAGGATGTGTAGAAGATTTGCTTGTGTGACAAAAAATTTTTGTTGAAAATCTTACTGAATTTCTATCTGAGAAATGCTCTCATTCATCACTCAGGAGTAGCTAGTATGCTTTCTTTGTTTCTGCATGTGAAAATGTCCTTAAAAATACATTTTTGCAATAAATGCAAGAGTTTGTGTAACCTATCTGTAAAAAATATTGGCTGGTGTAATGTCAAAGCTTCGTGCAGCAATTTAGGCAAGTTGTACCACTACTTGCAGTAAAAAAATGACAGAGAATTTTTTTTTTCCCCAAGAAATCAGTTGGTTTTGGTTAAGGATTCTAAGGTGAAACCCAGTCAGAGAAATGCAGACTCATTGAAACAGAAACTTCTAAAGATATATGTGTGTTTTTGCTGAATACTTATTCAGGGAGATTTCTCAGGTTCAGGGTAGCACTTCAGGATTGCTACTAAGGATATGTTCAGATGCCCAAGTTCCCCTTAGGTTACCAAACCCTACTGTTTTGGAGGATTGGCTCCTTATTCCTTTCCATTGTTTGCCAAGTACCCCTTGTACCCCAAGTACCTCACTTCAGAGGCTGTTGAGAGAAGGGATATTTAAGCTATAGAAGAATCTCAAATGTCAGTCTCAATCTAGTATGGTTCTGTTAGAATGATATACTAGGTAAAATGGTCTGTACCCTGACAGTGCACTCAAGTCCAGTGGGCAGAGTCGAGAGCTTAGTGCTGAGTCCAGCAGACCAGAACCCATAGGCTGGAAGATTCCCATAAAAGGGAGGTTGGGTAAGTTCAATGGCAGCTACTTGTTTTGAGTGGTTTTCAGTATGTATGTTGCTCAAGGTGTCTCCCTGAATAAGTCATTCACCTTTCTGCTTTCTTGTTGGCAACTTTTGGAACTCAGAGGGTTGTGTTGGCTCAAATATTGCAAAAAGAATTTGATTGTCCAGGTGGCTGTGCTCCCTTACACAGTAAAACTAGGATTTCTGAGGCTGCTTTTCTTATTTTAAGTGTTCTGAAAAGGTATCTGCTGAAGTGTTCTTGCATATTGTAATGAGCAAGACTATGCAAGTTTCTAGTCTAGTTAAAAAAAATTCCTCTCCAAAATACCGAGATGGTGTTTTTGAATTTCAGAATCCAAAAATATCACTGTATATTAGACCACGTGTTCCCTGCTCATGAATACAGGATTATTCCTTATAGTACGTCCTCAGCATTCTGGGTCATTGTAAAATGTGTTGACATCTTCTATTCTTCCATTTAGATTAGGTTGCTGTTGCCAGTCTTGTGTGCCCCTCTGCACTGTCAGCCTTTGCTCCTTTATAGCTCACTGGATTATAAAGCACTTTCTACACCTATGAAGAAATTTTACTTCTCTAGTGGATGCATTTTAAGCTTTCTTCTGCAGTCACCTCTTCCTAGGCTTACAGTGCTTGTTCTTCTTTCTGTGCTTATTTGCCACCTCCCCTGTTTGTGCCACAGTACTGCATAGAAACTCGTGGGGCAGATTTGCAAAACTATGTAGGAGACTTATATAGTGGTGCTTTTTATTGCATTACAAAGATATAAATGTCAGTTGTCAGTTCTGAAGGCTACTGCAAAATTATTCCAGTCTGTTTGCATCCTGGTGTGTATACAGTAGATTATTAGTTACTGGTCTGTCTTGCATCAGTTTAAATGTTATTTTTCTACATGCTTCACTTTGACATGCAGAATGAGCCAATACAGTTTTGACAAACTAGAGAACTGCTTTGATTTGAAGGCTAGTGGAAGTGATTTTGTTAGGACAGGATTCTATCATCTAATGGAAGTAAATTAGCATTTAAGAAGCAGAGATCTTTAAGGTTAACTATGCCTGAAAGACTAATGGTAGGCATTCTGTGAACTCGAAGGTTTTAAGGGTAGATTTCTGAAGGTGTCATCTGAGGCTTTCAAAAGCATGTAGGCACTTATCTCTTACTGCAGGCTTGAGAGAATTAAATTACAGCATTTTTCTGAAAAACTCTTAAGTGCTGGGTGCACCTTTAGGTGTCCAATTATCTGACTCCAGTGTCATTTGCTGCATGTTCAGATGTAAACAGTATGATTTTTTAACAAATTCTGTATTCTGAGAATATGTTTAGATTTTCATTGCTCATCCTCTGAATACCTCTACTGCATTTCAGATGCAAATAACTTGCACTTTGTGATGATAGCATATAAAATCAGCCTGAAAAAGAATGTATTGCTATCTGTATGACTTCCATCTAGCTTGAGCTTTTCTCACCCCCACGTGTTTATGGCTCCTGCAAAGTCCATGCAGATTGGTGCTGATTTGAGCTAAGATTTATACAGAAAACTCCAAAGAAATATGTTTCACTGTCCTTCCTGGGCTGTGTGCCTGAATTGTCTTTGAAGCAGTCTTTAGTTCCTGCCCTTCTAATTTGTAAATCTGAATGTCATCAATCGAAGTCAGGAGAAAAGATGGTTTGATGTCTGGACAACCAAGTACTCAAGCTATGCCTTAGTGAGAGCAGTGCTGCCTGTGCCTCAGAAAGATTTTATCTATCAAGATTTTTTTCTCAAAGTGTTCTTATAAGCCATTTAAAAAAATGTTATTACTTGATACTACTTGATATCAAGAGGAAATCCTGAAGAGTATTTCTAAGCTCATTCAGTGAGGTGATTATTACAGTATATTTACTGGAAGTGCCATTTAAGAGTGCTGGCATTAACTTATTCCCATGGAAAATTATCATGACAAATCAAGACTTGAAATAGCTTCAGCAGAAAATAATCAATATTGCTGGCTTTAAAAGTTTGTGGTAGATAAACCATAGGGTTTCCTTTCTTCCTGATCATAGTGGTTGTTGAAACCACCAAATTTGCTGATAAGGACTCAAATAGTTCTACTTTCATGTTTACTGTATTTTTCTTTTTCCTCCCTAGCAATGCAGAGCCTTCTGAAAAAAGATTTCGCATGAATAGCTTTGTGGCAGATTTTGGAAGACCTCTGGAGTCTGAGAGGGTCTTTTCTCGTCAAATGGCTGAAGAATCCCAGTCACTTTTCCATTTCTGTATTAATGAAGTGGAACATACGAACAAAGCAAAAGAGAGTCAGAAAGGTCCAGGTCTGGAGAGTAATATCCACTTCCAGGAGGTTCCCAGAAGCAGTGGAGTGTTCGAGGAAGACCTACATTGTCTTCCAAAATTTAACATTCCTAACTTTGTGAACACTGAGCAGAACTCTTCATTAGGTGAGGATGATCTCCTCATCTCAGAGCCACCAATCATTTTAGAAAGCAAACTGGTCATGCAATCTTCCCATCGGATCCTTGACTGAAAAAATCTTTTATGTTAAGGTAAAAGATTGTCCAGTTTGGACCCTTTCTTGGCCTTCTGCTATTCTGACAGAAGGTATTTCAGACCTGTGCTTTTTATTGTATGTAAGACTGGCTGTGCTACTAGAACTCAGTTTAAACAAGAAGTAAAACACTAAATGCTTTATTATGATGTTTTCTGTGGTCTAAACTTTTTGCCCAGCCAGCGTTATTTTTGCTTCGTGATTTTTTTTTTTGTTTCTTGTTTTGTTCTTTGATTTTAAAGGACTGCTTATGACCAGCTTCTGAAGGATCCCGTAACAATTTATGAGGACTGTGAGGGCTGGAGCCTGGTACTGGGAAGTGTGTGAAAATTCCTTGGCCAAGAAAAGTGTAAATCTCAAAGTGAGACTGAAGTAAGGAATAAACAGGCAGCCTCTGGGGAGGTTCTGTAGCTTCTGCTACTTCCAGTAACGATGCCTGAAACTAAGCAGCACAATAAATATCTGCTTGGGATTAGCTTCAGTTTCTGATTCCTAACTGTTTTTGGTGTAGGTTAAAGCCAATTTACAAAGCTTCCAGAGGGAATACCTTGGAAATTAAATTGTTTGGCTACAGTGTTTACAAAATGCCATCACCACATGCTGCTGACTAAAAGCAAATTGGTGCCTGTACTTACAGTACTTCAGAGTGACATTCCAACAGCTGCCCAGTGATGATGAGGAATTAGTATTCTACACACAAACACAGACCGTGATTTGACTCTTTTTTTTTTTGGTTGTTTTAATTGCTGATGTGAACTTCCAGTTCAGCAAGTGTAGGATTCAGTAGCTAAATCACAGGAAATAAGAAAAAAACTATTTTTCTTTTGCCAGTGCAGTTACTACATGCAAATGTAACATTAAGCTGGTGTTGCTTATAGGCTGAACCTTCCTACACTTTTTGGCTTTATAAACAGCCCTTTCTTTATTCATGGGCCATGGAAGGGCTAGCAGGCTTTGAATTGTTGAGAACACCAGCTCCAAATGTGAAGCTAAGCTCTGCTTGCTCCATCTTTTTGTACTCAATTGGGATGGTGTTGCAACCTCAGCTACTCTCCCAATTAAAGGTTTGTCAACAAATTGAATAAGTGTAGTTTCAACCTTTATTTTTTAGAGACAGAATAAGGTTCTGAACCTTAGAGAGTACTTAAATTATATTTCAGCTTTCCTCAAAAGATGGTAATTGATGACCAAATGGTTTTAGAGCAAGCACAGAAGATACAGAGGCACCAGGTTCAAATCTTTTGCTTGATTTGGAGTATGCTCTGCAGGAAATTCTTAATTGAAATGAAAATAAGTGGATGCCAGATACTGTGCCTGTTTTTTATTTTTTTTTTCTGAAACTGACCTACTTTGTACACAACATGTCTGTGTCGGAGGGAAAATGTAGTAGTGGCCTGCTGATACATTCTCCAGACACTTAAATGCTGATTAATTAATTCTTCCTTCACCTTACAGATAGGAAAAAGCAGAGAATGGGTTGAATATTTAAAGAATTAAAAACGTGCAGGAAACATATTTGGTTTTTATCTTCTGTGCCCTTGTTATAAACCAGTTATTGCTAAATTTCCTGTTTTCAAATGTAATTCTTACACTACTTGCTGGTTGTTTAAAGTAATGGGATTACAGTTAAAACAAAGCAGAGACTGTTTTAAACTAGCAGATTTTTGTTGAAAATATTCCAGGAAAAGAGTGAAGTGAACCCTGTTCTAAATGAGCATGGCTCCATGGGCTGCAGATCTCCAGTAAAACATTTCAAGTGCAGAAAAGGCCTTCTTTCACAGGAAGTAATTAACTACAAGTTTGAAGGCTGTAGCTGTGGACTGTTCTCTTCCCAAATTAAGAAATTTGGGAAACCTGTCTCCGAATGTGGCAACTACTTCCTGCTGAGGCATTTCAAATAACTGCTAGCTATCTGAACTGAAGCTCAACATTGTTCTTGCTAACAAGTTCTGGGACTTTTACTAAGCGTGGCTTTTATAGCCTATTTCTGAATTAGTGAGCTGCCTTCAGTAATGATTGAGCCATTCTTCTTATTTTTTTTCTTCCATTGCAATGCTTCAAAACAGAAATGCTGCTTAAAGGAGAGAAAAATCTTTGTAGAATCCCTCTCTTCTGCAATCAAGAAATGAAGGGTTTTTTAAAAGCATTTAAAACTCTGCTTCCTAGAACCATTTAGGTTGGAAAAAGATCTTTCTGAGTCCAGCCATTAACTCAGCACTGCCTCAACTAAACCATGTCCCCAGGTGCCACATCTATGTGTCTTTTTAAATCCTCCAGGGGTGGTGACTCCACCACTTCCCCAAGCAAGCCTGTTCCAGTGCTTGACAAGCCTTTTGGGGAAGAAATCTCAAAAGTTTCAGATGTTTCAAAAAATGCAGGTCTGATTTTAGAAAAAGAAAATGCTGCCATTCCCAATAGGCTAGCCTTTTTCTGCTGCTACCTTAAACCTTTGTGGCTTTTCTTTGGGTGTATAAGTAAGTGCTACTTTGGGGAGAAAAGGGGGAAGCATTTTGTGTACGGATGATGGTGACAATGCCTAGATGAAAGGTATTTAATAAAATGACAAAGAGATAATGTCAACTAACACCACATTTGAATTGTATTCTAAGTGTCCTTCTGAAGCATGTATTAATCCTGTAAAGCTATTTAAGTGTTTGGTTCCTGCCTCTGTTATTCCCCGATGATGGTTATACTTTTTTCACCTTATTTTCCTTCTATTCTTCTATTTTTAAAGTCCTTCATGCTACTTTTTACAGAAAAATAACCTGGCAGTCCCCACTGCAAAGCTCTCACACCACTTCAGAGACACAGTGGCAGCAACACAGTCTGATTCAGTTTTTCGTTCTACCTCTGCATTAGAGTCAAAGGCAAATGCAGAAACGTTCTGCAGTCTTCAAAAACAGTTATTTTAAAGGTTTCTTTCCTTTCTTTTTCCTTTTTAGGAACTAACAGAGATACTTTGCCTCAGGGGAAAGGGCAATATATAACATGTTTAAAAAAATTCATCGTTATCCAGAAAACCAATAAGTGCATTCATTATGAAGTGAATAGAAAGTGTTCTGACCAGAGTAATCCTTCAAAATGAATAGTTGGAATTTAATGGTGTTTGAAAATGGAATTTTTGTGAGTTTTTGTATTGTTTGGCCTCAAGCCTCTTCTCAAAACTCACTATAAATGAGTGAGTAGATTTAACTGCAGAGATAGACAGCTCCTCTAAGATAACTACATGCATAAACATGTCTTGTATTCTGTAAGAACTTACTAGGTTGAGTTATTTATTCCACTTTTCAAAGGTGAATACTTGCAAAATGTTCTTCTATGTAAACAAGTTTTAGCTGTGTACCTTTTTTTAAAAAAAAAAACCCAAAACCTAAAATGCAAAATCAGAAAATGCCTGCTCAATATAGAAAAGAAAGGGAAAGGTAAAACTGTGAACTTCTCTACTAAAATCTTAGTGCTATACAGTAGTTGAGACTAAAAGGTGAAGTAAATGATATATGTTTGTCATGCAGTTAAGTATTTATTCACCTGAGCTCTAGATCTTGAATACTGTAACACATTTTTTGCCACTTCTTAGCCTCAGGTATGGCAGATAAGGGTGCTGAAGCAATGAGGCTGCACACACACACAGAGAATTCGATTTCGGAATTTCTCCACAAATCTCTGCATTCCCCTTTTATTAACCTCTTCAGGTAAACAGAGCCTGCTGTTGCCATTCAGTTAACTAGAATTCCCAGGACTTTTTGCAAACTCAGTGTTTTGATTCACACACTCCCTCTCAGCTCCAAGGCTGAAACACTCCCTTTTGATTCCAATTATCTGAATGAAGATGCATCTGACTCAGCTTGTTCCCACATTGGGTAGTGACAGGTAGCAAGGACAGCAGAAGGCAGAACCTTCTACCACACATTCTCCAACAAGACCAAGAGTTGGAGGCATGTGCTTTCTTGCTTTTGGACAAGAGGTATGTGGTTAGCTTTATGAAAGGCTAATTATAATTCAAAGTTATCATGGAACTTTCTGTTCAAAAGAGTCAGGGCAGCACTTGATGCAAGGTCCTCCCCTCCCTGCAGAAGTGGATTTGCACAGCTAGTGCTAGTATACTCATTATTTATCCTTATATTTTCCAAAATAGGTGAAATATGGGATAGAGTGGCTGACTTCAAAATGTATTATGTGCTATCAAATAAAGTCTTCACACCTGCTAACCTATTTAATTTGCTACATGAACAATTCTGACATGTATTTCAGAGAACCTGAAATGGAACACATTGCTGCTGTCTCTGCCCCGAGTGCCATGATGAGATCTGATCCTTTTCTGCACATCCTGTTTACCTCTCTTGAAGCAATGCATTCTCTGTAATCTGGGTCCCTGAGTCACCTAGCCAGCTGCTCACTCGATTTCTTAAAAGCTTCAAACATGAGAATTCAAATTATTATACTCCACCTGCTTTGCTATAAACAGGCGAATTCCAGCTAAGCATTAGACAATGATTTAAAGACATTATGTTTGATTCTTTTAATCCATCCATCATGCTGCCTCCTGGAAACGCATGATGAAATAGGACAGCACAAGAAGAGGAAAAACATACATAAGGAGTATAGAATTATGTAACTCCTGGAATGATCTCACTGAAACAATTAGTAAAAGCTAATCACTTGTTTTGTCAGCCTTTGCACAATTTCAGGGTATTTTCCCCTTTCTGTACTGTGAAGACTGCTGGAGAGTAAGTAACTAATAACTTTAGCAAAGAACTTAAAGCTTGCACCTTAGTTCTCCAAAAGGAACACCCCAACTACAGTCATCCAAGCCCAGAGTCTGTTACTGTGTGGAGTGCCCACTTCATGCTAAATGCCTTAAAAACTTCAGTGAGTGTACAACTACATAAATACATGTAAGAACACAGTGTTCATGGCATTCAAACACTTCTTAAAAAATTCTTATAGTCAGTTCTCAGCAAATGCTGTTATCTTACATAGTTTGAATTAAATTCTCTGTCTATTTTACTGAGCAGGGACAGTATTATTTGTCATTACTGTAAGATATAATGTGGTTTATACTAAGGCACTCTTTTGATGACCTAAGCATTAAACATTTGAGAGAATTTCCAATAAGCAGAAATATTCCCCCTCGGATTCCTGTCCTAGGCAGTGCCCTAGAGTACCCCCATCCAGGAACTGACCTCTCTGGGAACACAAGGGTTGCTCTAATTTTTAAAAAGTTCACACTTCATGTCACACACTTTAATATAGTCTTACATGTATAGCAAATTGTACAGGAAGTAAATGGTAAGTTGCAATATTATTCAATTTTATCCTTTTCATTTGCAAAACAGACTCAAATCAATAAAATACAGCATATTTACACAGAGCTGATATTTTATATACAAAGCATTATTATATTTACACATTTTATGAACATACACTAGTATTTTTTAGATAGGATCAAAATATCCATGGTAGAAATACTGAAAGTAGCTGAATAGGAAAAAAACAAGATTACTATATTAATTGGCAACTGGCCAAACTTTTTTAATATATATAGATATGTGTGTATACAGTCTCATGTTTGTGTATGGGCCAGAAAAAATAATAAACCTTGCACTTGGGTATAATTTGTTACACTCTGCTGTTCTTATGCATGCTCAGTCCCATGCTTGTATGAGAGAAAGTGCATATTTACTGCTGGTCCCTGAAGAACATGACACATAAATACACATGCACAGGCCTGAACTATTTCACATTTGATTTAAATGATAGCTTCAACCAATACCACAGGGACCTGAAGAGTACATTCTAGCTTTT